AAGCCTGGTCATCGTTGTCCTCCTCGTCTTCTTCATCTGCCTCAATCCTTGTCTCAGCTCTTGAACGTGATGGTGGCCCCTGTGCGAAAAGGTTCGGGTGCCTGCGAGCCTGAGGATCAAATCTATCTGGGCTCTCCTCTCGAATGTTTGACCCTGACAGGGCCAAGTCTTTGGCCAGCACAGATCGCCGCCGCCGGTTGCTTGTGTGGCGGCGCCGCCTTGCTTTGACAGTTTCCTGGTCGAGGTAGCCTTGGATTTGCAGATGGGCATGAATAAGGAAACTCACAACAACATATCTCCTTTAGCAAGGCACCCCGAGGGCTAATGCCAACAAACCACCAGGGTCTTAACCAAACGTGGCCTGGAAGGTAGCCAATTAATCAACAAAACACGTGTACAGTAAATAGCCTTCGGCAATCCAGGGCAGCTTGTCACAGATTGCGGGACTGCTTCAGCATAGGCCTTCCACATGAGATGCTCTGGCTGAGCGGCAAGAGTGGGATCACGCTCCGCGTTGGAGCCGTCATACAGGCTTTTTTGGTATTCCTTCCATCCCGCATTGATGGCATTGCTCTGCGGTTCCTCGTCATATTCCTCAAACTGGTCCTGGTGCTCATCTTCAAGCTCCTTCTTAGGTCGGTACTTAGCTTGGAAGCTTGGATTTTGAGACTCATATCCATTCTCCACCTTGGCATGGCGCCTTGTGGGCAACTGTGGCCCTGAGCCCGCTTCCCTGCCAGGCAGCTGCTTCTGGACAAACTGCCTTCGAGACTCTCCCTTCTCCATCATGTGATTCTCACTTGCCCGCCTCTTCAAAGCGCCGTCCTCGATCTGCCGATGGATGCTACGATCAACAAAGCGAACATTCTCTGGATCGCTGGCCTGGGGCATTCTCTGCTCAGTCTCCTGCAAGCTCTCAAGATCCTTTTCCTCATCCGCTGTGTCTTCATCCTCATCTACCCCTGCATCCAATTCCTCTTGAGCTTCTGCACTAGCCTCGGACGGGAAATGCTCTCTCTGGTATTCCCTCCATCTTTGATAAGGATCTGCTGGCTTGTCATCCTCAGTGGCCTGCAGGTTGCTCAAACTACCTCGTGAGCTTTCTTCCACACTCCTGACAAGAAGAATACGCATCATCCATCACAAAACCCCTCTTTCCCCTCCTTCGGCCCCCTAAAAAGCCACACAGGCCGCACAAACTCCGAGCAGATTGAGACCTTGCCCCCACGGCCTTTTTCCCACTAATGTAGATCGACTCTTGATTAATAAACCACCCCATTTGAGTTGCAACACCTCTTCATATGGAGGGTTTATCCATCAAGAGTCTACATTAGGATTTGTCCTCGCTTTTGGCACCGGAATCCCAGGTCGTGCACGGAGACCGTCAAACCAGGACACCACGTCCCCAAAACCGGACGGACGACCGGTGAAGGCGAAGATGGTTCAACAACCGGCCCAGTAAGACACAGAGGTGGAACGTAAGCGTATTAATTTGGGACCCGTCCTGGGGTACCCAACTTGGGATAGTCTAGTTCGGGTCCTTCAACCTCTGTTGGCCATGGGTTTCTTCAGTTCAACGCCTCCAGAGAGGCGCTGAAGCCGCGAGAACTCGTATGCCAGGGACGGTGGATCGAATCTAACGCGGTGCGTCCAGTTTCTGATGGCAAGCAACAAAACCCATGTGCGGAAGAATCCCCTCGACCTGCAGGTGACCTGGGTTGTGACGTCAAACGCTAACTCCGAGACCACAGGTGCTGCGGTCGTGGTGTCCTTCCCTCTCCCTCTCGCTTTCTCTGGGGTGCACCACCTGCGTCTCTTTCTACCACCTGGTGGGCCCCTGCCAAGTCCACTTCGGTGGGTCAACCATCTCCCCGGTGAATTCAGCTCCGTTCACACCGGGTCCCGGAGTTCACCCACCGGGTCCCCCACCGTCCCCCACGCCCCACGTCCGTCGCGTCCCACCTCGGAGGTTCTCGGACCTGCCCGGCGAACCGAACCCAGGCGGCGCGGCGGAGGCAACGCGAGGTGCCACGCGAGGTGCAGGTCAGCATTCAAGCGAGGGGATCTGGGGGGGGGGAAGGAGATGGTGGGGAAGGAGATGGGACCCACGTCAAACAATGGCTATAAATGACATCATAGTTGTTTGATGATGTTTGATGTTCACAAGTTTGAACCATTTTCAACCAATTAGTGAGAGGGGATTCACTAGTGAATCTCAGCCTTTTGCTGTACTATGAATCACCAACTAACTGCCACGACGGGGTGTTACTCAACTCGTGAACACCTTCAAAACCACCAACCGTCACTTTTGCTGACCATCTGCAGCAATGCGCTTGAAGTCCAAGACTATTTAACAAAAATGTCTTCAGGCAACCCTAACAAGAACTGCCTGTGGGGAGCCAAAAAGCTATTAATGTATGACTAAAACATATACCAAATATATCAAAATATGTAAAAGCATTAAAAAATATATATATATAGCCTATATATATATTATAGCCTTTGGATTCCTAGGGCTCAGCTTTTCAACGGGTCCCAATACGGCCTCACCGTTCACCTCGACTGTCCCGGTCGAGCGCCTCGCGACCAAGGCTGCTGGGCTTCATGCCGATCTGCAGCTCCGAGGTCTCATCCTTCCATCGGTGAGAGCGCCAGGTGTGGCGCCAGGCGCCAGGTGGGGGATCGTTGCAAGAATGATGATTGCAACGTTAATGATGTTTGTTACAGTTTGTTGTTGAGGATTGTTGAGGATTGTTGTTACGGATTGTTGAGGATTGTTGTTACGGATTGGTGAGGATTGTTGTTACGGATTGGTGAGGACTGTTTGTTAAGGATTGTTGAGGATTTGAATGTTACTTTCATATTGTTCCAACTTATGCCGCTGCAGTGCATGTGGTCCTACGGTGCCTTCCTTCGGGCGGAAAGTCTATGCGGGCAGCTTTTGGCATTGGATTTGGATTTGGAGGCGAGCGATTCTCAATGCCTTCATCCACCCGATCCCCTCCAGTATGCCTGCTCGAGGACGCAGTTCTCCACAGCCTCTCCCAAAGACAGGTAGAGGAGCCAAGCAACCCAAAGCGCCATGGGAGATGCTGCGAGATGCTGCACTCGCTGGCAGGCCGCAGCAACTGTGGAGCCAGGCGCGGGTTTCCGGCGTGCGTGGCCCAAAAGACATGCAGCTTTGGATGCTACCTGGTGTCGACTCCAATGGGTCTAACACGATCAGTCGATCCGAGCCGATCGACTCTCCGGTCGAAGGGGTTGTTCTCGAAGGGGTTGGTCCCGGACTCGTGGACATGTCAACCATCCAGAGCTGCAGTTTGCTGCTCTTCTCGGCTGCTCCCTTGCCCAAGATTGCCCAAGATGTGCCAACTATAGCTTTGTTGCTAGTAGTATGGTGCCTTCTCACTATAGTAGCTATTTGTTACTAGTAGTGATGCCAGGAGCTACTACTAGTAAAAACATAGTAAAACATAGCAGCCCGCTTTGGGTTTAGGGTTCCTTGGCACACCTTGGCACCAAAAGAGATTGAATCGTTCCGAACATCCGTCTGGGACCGATCGAACATGGAGACCGACCAGGCGCGACCTACCTGACCTACCTGGTGTCGGTCGTTGGTGGTAGCTGACCCACCATGTCATCCAGCCAGGGCCATTGAGACCGCTGCAAGGATGGAGGGAGTCGAGGGAGCCTTGGATACCCTATAATTACCATCGATATATACCTGGAATATCCTGGAATCATATTACTTGAAGGCACACCCCATCTCCAAGGTTCTGGTCTTCGGGAATGCTCCAACTTCCCTGATGACTGCCCATGCTCACAGCCTGGCGAAAGGGAGGCGTTTTGGGCTTCGCTGTGCGGCGCGGCGAAGAGCACCACCCACCGAGACAAACGCACCACCCGCGGTGAAGAATTGTATGAACGGGGTGGGTGCCAGGGGGGGTCGAATACCACCGAACCTGAAGGATATGGGTTTAGGGTTGCGGCCAGGAGCGGACCCCCCCTTACCAGTCCAACGACTCGGGAATCGCCCCCAAGTACCAAGGAATGGCCACGCATGCCTCTCCCGAAACCCACAGAGCCTTCTGTAACCTTGGGCCACTTGGAGTGAACATGGAAAAGCGGTTCATGATCTGAAAGGTCTTACACTCCCTGGAACTATGCCATGGCCCCTTTTAGGAAGACCATGAAATCCACGTAACGTAACAGGTGGTGAACTCCACGTCACCATGGAGACGTTCAGGGAGAGTATTTCCAAGGAACACCCAACAAAGCAGAGATTGCCATGAAATTGCTGAAGGACTTTGAGTGATGTTTGAGGTTCTTTTGTGGGAGTGGGATTGGTTTGACCCAAAGCCGAGAAAAGGACAAGGTGCTGCACCGTTGGGAATTGAAGCGAACATGAATCAATTCAAACAACATGACCAATATAATTACAGAATAGACATATTCAGTGGCATTCATCATGCTGGCGCTGCCACTCCAGCGAGATCAACTCACAAACTAATTGCATGGCTTAAGAACTGTTGAATCGCAACAACTGCGATGAGCAGCTCGCACCACCTGAACAATCAATGAAGTCTGTTTCTCGGTTCTCGCTTCTCGCCGAAGCAGCACGGTCTGCGGTCGGACGCCCGTTCCGTCACGGGCCCCCGCCTTGCAGGGATCCTGCTTCACCCCCCTTCGCTGGCCAGCTTCGATCAAGACCTGGTCGTGGTGAGCGGCGAGCAACGTCGACGCAGCGTCACCGTCGACGCAAGACACGAGTCGTTGAAGCTCGTGGAAGAAGGGAGAAGGTTCGACGGATCCAGGACCAAAGGATTAGATGGCAAGCCTTTAAACAAATCCATGAGACAAACGCTCCATAGGCCACTTGAAGTCACCTGTATGCTGTATGCCAAACGTGTGGCTCGAATCGGGGTCGAAGCAGGGTCGAAGGTGCAGAAGGTGAAGGAGATACTCCACCATCTGCTCGCTAGGATGAGGGCAAGACGAGGGCTTGCAGGCAGCAAGTAGCACAGAACCCACGAATATGATCCCGGTGAGAGACCACAAACCGTGTTGAGGGTGAAGAAAGGAACTTCTTGACGGAAGAACCCCAAGTGTGACCACTGTGGAGGACGTAGCAGTCCCAAATGATTTCTGGAGAGTCATGCCGTCTACTCTAGTGTCACTGGGACTGGACTGTTACTGTTGACTCCAGATTTGACCATTTCACGATGCTCCGTATGCCCCGTATGAGCGGACCTCAAAATGATCATGAGGATAAGAGATTAGCCTAGTACCATAGATTATTGGCATTATTATATTGTACTTACTGTATTCTTCGTATTTTTCGTATTTTTACTATTATCACCCATTATCATGGTCATTATAAGAAAATAACATAGACTGTAATTGATATATTGGTGACATGGCGCGTTCTTCCAGATTGGAGAAGCCCCCCAAAAAGGATCCTTTTTGGCACCCCCGCCAGCTCGCACTTGCCACAAACCGCGGTGAAGAGCTTCTCCCCCACCAGCAGTGCCACAGCGCCCCCACAGCCATCCTGGATCGAGGGCCTTGGAAGAAATTCAGTCCGATGGAGGGTGAAGAAACAACGGAAAGAGAAACAAACCAATACCACGTCGTTCTTTTTTTGTATTTTTGGAGTGGATCGGTATAGAATTGTATAGGTGTGTTGTCTTTTTCCTTATATTTACTTAATATTGGATAATTTCTCTGTTACAGACTAAAAGACTTCTGTTTGCAAGAGGCAACTCGTCATGGTAAGGTCAATCGACATCGAACACATCAGGGTCATCCTTATATGCGTTGCGGTCGTCTTTAGCCGGAGTCGTCTTGAGCCACTTCTCATAGAAGTCTCCACATCTGTCTTACAAGTACCAACCTAGTGACCTAGTGGCTAGTTCTAAAACATGAACCCAGGTTTTTCGCAAACAATGGCCCCTAGGTAGTTCCAATCCCACCCATTCTGCAATTAGATACCATATTATATCCATGCATATTATATCATAAATTATGTTCGATGTAGATATGTACTATGATAAATATAGTATATAATTTACTGAGGTGTCAAGGTCTTCGCTCATGGATCCCAAAGCTGGTGGTCACATCCTGGTTCCTCCGCCTGGCCGCGCGATGTGACCGATCGCAGGTATACTGCCTCATCTTGGGTCATTTGGAATTGACCTGTGAAGCCCTCACATGTCCAAGCAGCTGATTTCGCAACACCTCCTTATCCAAATCTTCAAAGGCCTTCTTTAAGCAGGCCTTGTGAAGCAGGCCATGTCGCCGCTGGGTGACAAGTGGTGACTTGTCGAGCAGGAGTCCGGGCATCTGGAAGGGCTCCCTTTTCCCTGAACCCCTGTACCCCGCGGAACGGATTGCGAAGCCCGCAAAAGATGTGGTCACGAGTAGTCACGAGGTTTGAGTGCGACAATTCCGGGGCACGATGAATGCGGAATGAAACCCGGTACATGGGCTCTTGTATATGCCAAGAAGACTGGACCTGCAGCCCATGGTGGGTGAACAGCCTGAAAACTGTCAAATGACACGATGATGCTGAGGACTTTAAACCTAGTCTACACGCCCAGAGTTTGGTTGTAAACAGTTCCTGCCGCTCAGGGGCATACTGACCCTTCAAACAGGGTTGTCTGATGTTGTCCGTTCTGTGCAGGCCTGAAAAAGAACATTCTCAAGATCATCTAAGGAGTACAATTCAGTCCCCAAACGTGGCACGTAGCCCCTGGAAGCGCCTGGAAGTGACACATCCTGTTCCAAAAGCCTCTTGGGATGTACACAGTGTGCTTTCGGGCGAGTGTGTTTTCGATGCTCGGAATTTCTGGGCACGAAAAATACGGACCCCGCTGGCCAATGGAATTCGATGTGGAGCAGCCGGTGCACCTTCACGAAGGTGGCATTCTCATAGCCCTGCGCAGTGAGTGGTGCACGCGAAGGAAAGGCATCCCGCTGGTAGTGAGTGGTGCAGGATTTGATCAGCTTCTACGGGAGATGTCATGATCCGTTCAAGATCTTGGGTTTTTTCCGGCTAGCCCCCCCACAAAAAAAGAAACGAAAACACGCCTGAACACGGTTGAAGTTGGTCAACTTGTGGTGCGTTTGACACCCAAACTCTGCGATTCATGTCAGCAACCATCGCCAATACATTCTCGATTCCCCCATGTCGGTGGGGAGGTCATTGAGCGTTTCCACGCGCCCCGGATCCTATGTGCCAGTGCTATTCCGCGACCAGTAAGGCATGGGATATTTCACAATGCTGAGATGAAGCAAGAGCAAACAAAAACCATGTGTATCCATTCGTGATCACAATGCGTGATGCAACAATTATTCCATATTCAATTGATTGTACGCTAGTACAGTCCACACTTCAGGAAGCATCAATAACATCATGGGGTCATGAAGCACATATTCTTCAGGGAGTGCAACCGGATGTGCATGTGGTCCCTTTTTGTTCGCATGTCCTTCATGTCCTCCATGTTTCTCCGTTGCCTGTGGGATGGCGGACATATTCCGCAGCAACTTGGGCAGCAAGGTCTTGGCACAGCACTCCGCAGCCATGGGGCCCGGCCCCTGATAACGACCGCACCGGCGGGGTGAGGTCTTGAGTTGTTAATGTAGAGTCTTGATGCATAACCCGCCCGTATGAAGAGGATTTCACAATTCAAAAGGGGTGTTCTTTAGGGGTGGCTCTTGAATCAAGAGTCTGCATTAGGGTGCAATATGGTGCAATTGGCAACCCATCCTCAAATGGCGTGCCGTGGGGGAAAGCACTGCTGGTTGGCAGGAGGCCAAAAGAAATGCCCATGAACTCGAGAACCTCCGTCTGAACTGCGTCGCCGCCGTGCTAGCAACTAAATATATTCGTGTGTGTACTAAAAGATTGAAGCTTGGGGTTCCCTGTTGAAAGACGAAACTGAAAACAGATCCCAACATCCATCGGTTGGGGCTCCAAAGACTACAGGTGGCCAGCACCAATCTCATCTCAGTCACAACCTACGCACTTCCAGGCCCCTCTCTTTTGCCTCAGCCGATGACTGACCATCGAAGAGTGCAAAGAGCTGCAAGGGCGCTTTGTTCCTGAGTCATGAGTTTCAAGATCGAACCTGTAGTCAAATAGAATAGATTCCCACACATTCCACACATTCGCTTTGTGTGTTCCAGCCTGTAGTCAAATAGATTCCCACACCTTCCAGCCAAAAACGAATGCATCGCCGCCTAAACTGGGAGGTTCTGAAGTTTCAAACCACCTGCGAACGGCTCGGCGGCTCATGGCACGACCACCGGCTCATGTGCTGCCCCCACCGGCCAGGAGTGGCCACCGACCATAGGGTTTTGGAGGGTGCAATGATCTGCACTGTCCCATCTTCGCCTTCTAAGATGTGCTTCCTGAAAGCATCATGAAGCTTCACACTCTGTTTAGCAAGGCAAGAAGAAGCACTTACTGCTTGTAACAGCGACCCCGAAGTGGAGGAATTCCTGAACGGGTCTCGGTATTGGCTCCATTCATTTGGGAGGAATACCAAATGTAGTCACAAGTGTCTTCAAGTGGCTTTGGGGCACCAGCGCAAACCAGACTCACCTCCTTTCACCGAGGATTCTCTCCAAACCGAACCAACCCCCACCGTTGACCGACCGCGGTGGTCCGGACCGACCGGTCAGCCCAAGCGCTCGAAAAGCCCGGTCGTGGGCAAGGAGATCTTGGACCTGGCTGCCACCTTCCTCGGTGCCGTCGGTGCCCGGTGTCGTCGGGTCCAACCGGTGGAGCTGGTGAGTGGCGGCTGTGGCGGCTGTGGAGGCAAGTCCCGTGGTGTCTTTCGGTCGTGGAGCGATTCAGGTGAAGACATGGTGCCTTTAAAATAGGGAGAAATGCCCAAATGGCCAAGCTCCAAGCTCCACACAAATCCACTCAATGACGGTTGACTCGATTGCCCCGGTTGGTGTCCAACACATCATGAAGTTCGCCTGGAAAATGGGTTCGACCCAAGCTTACTACATCCTGCAGCACACAACGACGTGGAGTATGCTGTTTGGATGTCCACACATACACGGCCGTCTATGTAAAAGGTTTAAAAGCCACACCCTTCGGGTGGTGTAATTCATGCACATCTTCGCCCGATCTGTGCCTTGGCGCTTCGCAAAACTCCCACCGTTTGCGCGCGGTGCGGTGCTTGCGCCCGCGGTGCGGTGCGGTGCTTGCGCCCGCGGTGCGCCCGAACCCGACTTGAGGCCAGTTGCCTCAAATCTTTCACGATGAGATGCCTCACCAAGTTGTACTCCACCCTGGATGAGATGCGCTGCATGGATCACCAGGACCATCCGGGTCGATCGAGTGGGACTACGTCGCTGGACCGTATCGTCAGCTGGCCGCGTCGGTGTATGAGGTACGTGTACCGCTGGACGGTTGAGGCACTGGACGTTTTTTGCGAACAGGTGGTGGGTGTACATTTGGGTTTTCTCCCGCCTTGTTTGTTCCATACAGTGCAGGATTTGCAGAGTTGCACATCTGGTTTTCAAAGGAGAGCGTGAACCACAAGACTTGCAAAAGAACTTGTTGGTGGGAGCCTGTGGGAAATCCAAATGGTCCAAACTTCTCACTATCATCTATCATGCAGAAGGGTTCCTTGAGAACATGTAAGTACACTCTTTAAAACTATAACATGAAATCCTTGAGAATGGCCCCTTGGAAGTTCCCATGAAATCCACTACAAACAGGTGGTTTTTCCGCTTCTATATGAGTTCCAGGGAGACTACGTAGCAGATTCCCGCCCTCCATCCAGGGCGCCCTCAGCCGGTCCCCCGCCTGCCCAGACTCACCGCATCGACGACGACCCTGAGAGTTGCGGCAGCTTCCTCCTCTTCCTGAGGCTCTGAAGCACCAACACTTGGAGCCTACGCAGCATCTACGCAGCAGCTTACGCAGATCTGTGCAGATCAATCGATTTGGAGTGATCAATCGATTTGGAGTCTTTCCTCTCCCGCTTTCGCTGCTGCGCGAAGAACGAAATCCAGTTCGTTTTGGGTGGTTCTGCCTCCGAAATCAGGCACCTTGCATGTTGCCGTTGAGCCTTCTATGGCACACCCATGCTGGGCCCACGGGACTGTTATATATTACTTTATTTCCAGACTATAAACATACAAACTGCAACAAGGAAGTGCAAAGGCGTTGGACTGTTATCCTGGACTCGTCTCTTCGAGTTTGACCCCCCATTTCGTGGAAAGAACCGCTCTTTTGTCCAGGAAAGTTGTCACAACATCGGAAAGTGGAACTGACGCCTCACAGGGGGTGGATCTTGATGCATTCCGTGGCCATCGTGTGCCAAGGCACCCTCTGTTCCTGGGCCTGTAGGGCCTTCGCCTGACGAAGAGAGAATTCGCACGTTTTTGAAGCTCTTCCCAGATTCGCATCTTTGGGGATTCCTCTATTTTGTGGACCCCCTGTTTCAGATATCATCTCTCCTGCATTGCCATTGACAGCGTCATACATATTCCCAACCTACCGCTAATCTTGATTTTGAAGGAACAGTTATAAAGAGAAACGGCCCTCTCAACATCTGCGCATGATACTGGAGAAGGAAGCAAAAACACGACACCCGAATTTTTACTTGGTGTGGTTCGTGTTTTTTGGGGCGTTTGTAGATGTAATTTGGTGGAAGGGATAATTGATAGAACTCACCAGCCCAACAAAAGGTCAAGAGTCTTTGCTTAGCTATCTTTGCTTTAGAGTCTTTATCGTTCCCCAAACGCTGCCATCCATCCGTTGCCCCAGTCTCTGCCAGTTGGTCCCATAACTGCCTCCTCCGCCGCTTGGAAGTGGTTTGGCAGTTGACCCTGCTGCTTCAACTTCCTCGGGAGGAAGGTGATGTTTTTCACGCATGAAAATTGTGCGAAGGGAAGGACTCGACGGTGGGGATCGAGGAGCCCCAACCAATTGTTTCAAAGAGCTTCATCTACACTCCCTGGAGCAATTGTAATCTGGAAGTGGGTGGCCCCTTTTTGGATGACCATGAAATCCGAATACCAAACAGGTGGTGAACTCCACTTCCATGATGATTTCGCGGATTTTTTCTGTCCTCTTCGAACATCGATCTAAACACAGCAACCTAAACACGTGGGTGCAGCCTCCGCGTTTCGGCAGCTGGTCGACCTCTGCCCGCCAAGGATCCACAAGGGCGTGCCAGAGAAGCCCGCATTGCTGGAACAGAAGTTTTGCCCTGACGAACCTGTTGGACTGTGACGGCGGATCCCTGTCAAGACGCCCGAGGATGCTCCAGTCACTGGGCCCTCCAAAGATACTCCGAGGTCTGAACATGTGAAGGAGACCACAGCGACCTGCAGCCTCATGACAAAAGGCTGGACCAGTACCACCTTCACACATGTGCTGGACTTCACATTGGCAGAGACTTCTGAAGGTGTTGCTGCTCAACTAAAAACATCACGACATCGAAGGAGTATATATTGTGTACAATATATGCTATTGTGTAATACAGCTACATCTAATGGATCGACCCTGTCTCACCCTGTGATGAAACTTGAAGCTCCTGTGCCGGAAGTGATTTCCCACCACATATATCATTCGTGTTCTTGGCATCGTCAACAGTCAACCCATACTATTACTATGTATATACCTCATTTCCAGTGAAAGCCTCTCTAAGACAAAAGTGGAGGCGTGTAATTCCCCCCCCCACACCCTTCCCCGCCCTCGGTGCACCTCCTCCTCCACTCATGGCAAGGTCACGCCCAGCCACAACCAAAGGTGCTCTTGATCCAAGACAAGAACGACGAAAAAGTCTTGGTCACTGGAAGGAACCGCAGTGATCTCTCTTGGAAAGAACCTCCTCTTGGCTATACATAATATACACTACTTGTTTATGCCTACAGCCCCTGAACCCCAGTAGTGTTTTAGAGAACGTCGTCGTCATCACCATCACCATCATCATCATCATCATCATCATCATCCTCATCGTCATCCTCATCCTCCTCCTCCTCCTCCTCATCCTCCTCCTCCTCCTCATCATCATCATCATCGTCCTCGTCCTCGTCCTCGTCCTCGTCGTCATCATCCTCGTCATCATCCTCGTCATCCTCGTCATCGTCATCATCGTCATCATCGTCGTCATCGTCATCATCGTCGTCATCATCGCCATCGTCATCGTCGCGGTCCTCATCTGTCTTGTTACAAAGCCCCCAAGTCTGCCACCAGCATGGACCAGTCCGTCTGCCCGCCCTGGCGTCCCGGACGGGCACGAAGAGTGTCCGCGCTGGCACTGCAGGGATCGGCACCCCGTTGCTGGGCCTCGGAAGCTGGTAGCGGGGAATCGGGGGGTTTCCGAGTATGGAGACTGCTGGGAAAATGGCATTTACCATGAGCTTCAAGAACCTATGAGGCTGCTTTTTCTCAGTGTTTGGAAGCTTCTGGTATTTAACTTTTGGATGTATTTATATGTATTTATTAGCGTGTAACCGTGTAACGTTAATAGGGAGACACCTGGAGACACCCAACCAATGAGTCTGGATGCCTGTGCTTGTCTGGATGCCTTAGGCTCGTTTCGGGGCATAGTTCATGGCGCACACATCACATAGCATGGTTCATCGGTGTGCAGACTGCACTGACGATCTACTCACCTGTATATAGTTGATAGATGTCACTCCCCCTGTACCCACCGTACCAGTCGGTACCTGGCGGGTTTCAGGAGGCACTTGCGTTGGACTGCGGACTGCAAGCTGTGACACCCAACCAGTGAGTTTGGGGTTCTATGTCCCTTCTTTGAGGAGGGGGTCTGCGGGTCTTTGGGAGGCCTCCCACAAGCAAAGGGAAAGGTCTAGAAGCTGTTCCTGGGTCGGAGCATGTGGTGCTTTGCCACAGCCCTATTCTAATATGCACCTCTCACTCTCTCTCTCTCTCTCTGTAAAGCTTAGCCGTCCCACAAAATCCACCAAAACACACTCCCATGATGAAATGAACAGGACCGACAACGGCCGTATGGCCATTCTGGCAGGCTCTCTACCGTTTTTCCACTGAGGTTTAGATGTAATCAAGGACAAACAGTTGAGCAGAATATGTTCAATGTGTTCATTATTATTCTTCGACATGTTGCAACTAGAAAGTAGTTCACACAGTAAGTTCTTCAATTTGTTCATGTGAAACGTGAGTTCGGAAGGCAACAAAAACCACCTGCCTATCGACTTCAGGAGGAACATCAATTTACTTGGACTTGACTTTTTCCTCGATGCAGGAAGAAGACCCCATCACTTCGATTTGACAGGCGTACCTCCCAAACGATCAAGTCATGCTAAGTCAAGTCAAGTCAAGTCATGTTAAGTATTGTGAAGTAGTCGGGCGATGTTGAGTCATGTTGGATAGAGATTCAGTCATAGTCAATGTCATCAAATCGTCTGTAAAGAGGAACCAATCGCTACTATAGTCACAAAGGGCATCGCATCCCGAACGGAGGGATCGGACGCTACCATCGCGGAGCTCCTGGCCGTACTACTATAGTAACAAGGTTTCCTACGAACGGAACAAAGGGCATCGCGACCGCACCTTAGAAGCCATCTCTGAGAGGAAGCTTAAGAGACCCGAGCCCGCGGCCTCACAGGCACTGAAGGGGAGGATGCATAGGCCTAACTCAGCGCGCCGTCGCGGATCGCGCGTCCGAGGACCAGGGCCGTGTCTGGGGGATTGGGACGGGTCTTCAGAACAGGTCCTGAGGGATCCTGAAGGGAAGGAGGATGATTGGAAGCATGAACTCCTCAAGGCGAGAAAGGCTGGCACAACCCGTCCGACCCCGTCCAAAGGTTGCGCCCGAATTTCCATGGCAACATCCGGCTTGTGGATCGTTTTTTCACTGAGTGTCCCCTGCCCTTTGGAAGTGAAGAACCCAATCCAAGAAGTCACTCTCGACACAATGGTGAGTGGCCTTCGGCGCTCCCCAAACGAACGAGCCCACGCGGCGTCGGCGCCAAGCGAAGTCTGTTTGAGATGATGCAAAGTGTTCTGATTACCCCTTTGCTTGTCTTCACCATCCCCATCCTGCCAAGCTACAGGTTGATCTGGCCAGCGCAGCCCCGTGCGGTTGGGTGGGCTGCCATACATCGGTTGGGTGGGCTGCCCGAAGGCTTTCCAAGTTTCCAAGCCAAGAAACCGTGTCTTAGGTTGGTTGATGTTGGTTGGGGTTTTGCAAGTTGCTCTGTCGGATGAAGCGGTTGTCGGCTGAGTTCCCACTCTGGGAGTGGTTGGTCATGACCTATATGGCCATGTCACTACTGTGTAACACCCAGCGGCACGCTTCAGGGAGGTGGATGGTGTGGATGGCTTGCTCTTTGAGCTGATTTCAAGAATCTACTTGTTCTGAACCGAAACCGAAGAGGTTTACACTTACCGACTGCCGCAACTGCCTATCTCATCGCTTGGAGGAGTCTGTGAGTGAAGATGAAGCTAAAAACGGCGTCAGCTTGCGGTTATGATCGGTACCCAAGTATATGAGTTCAGGCAATACCTGGATCTTCAACAGCACTAGTTTTTGCCGGATGCATTTTTCAGCGAAAAGACCCCGAAATCAAAAAAAGGCCGTCTTAGGGGTTGCAAACATGTGCTCAAAATCCATGATGGGAAAGACGCCGTTTGGACGCCTAAAAATGCCGTTTGTTAGAAGCCTTAAAAGGCCGTTTCTGGTTTCTGCTTTCGCTGGCCACCCCCCCCCAAAATCGACGTCTTTGGAAAAAAACAACGCCGCAGCGGTATTCTTTCTTGAGAAGGCGGTTATTTGTACCGTTTCGAAGATCCAGGTATGAAGTAGCTTCACCATTATCATTGCCGCAATGCCTTCAGTCACACACGTTGACACGCCATACTGTATGTCAATGTATATCATTCAGAACAAGGATTTTGATGGATTCAGAATGTCCCCAGAAGCTTGGCGAATGTTTGAACATGCAAAAAATGATACAAACATGTTCTACTACTCGTTACGTTGATCATTTATCTTGCAATATGTGCATCAAGACCGTCACAGACCGTCGAACACCGGGCCATCCAGGATGGCACGCATGGCGAGCAAGCTCTCAGCGTCGGTTGCTCAAGCGAACCGTGAACCAGTTGCGGTTTGAGTATTCAGCACATTGGTCACTTACTGTAGACCTGTAAAAATCTAATATTGGAAAGAAACAGTTTATACTAAAAAAAGTCAAAAAAGTCAATCCCAAAAGTCAAAGTAAAAAAAATCCAATCAGAAAATTTCAGAAAGTCAAAACAAGTCAATTTGCCCAGATCCGACTTTTTTTTTACGTTTTTTTTCGACTTTGACTTTTTCGAGTGGTTGACTTTATTTTATTTTATTGTTTGGACTTGTTCGAGCTGTTTTTTTTTATTAAATTTGACTGTTTTGTTTGTTTGTTTTTTTTACTGTTCGTTCGACTTTTTTTTAACTTTCTTTTTTTTGATTGTTTCGATTTTTTGTTTTACTTTTTCGAGCTGTGGTCTATGGTTGACTTTTTTCGACTTTTCAATTTGATTTTTTTTGACTTTGACTTTGCCAGTTGACTTTTTTTTGACTTTTTTCGACTTGTTTTTAAATCAAGGATTCTGACCTTACCATATAAAAGTTCTTTTTTTTCCAACTGTAGACCTTCCGAAACGATTACAGTGGTTTCAGAGTAGATGGCACAAACCCCAAGATGTCTTTTAGATGGGGATCCATATGGATCCATATAAACCACCTTTTGGTGATTGTGCCATCGAATCTACTCTCAATCCACTGTATATCTTTCATTGCATGTAGCTCTTCAGTTGGTACCCAATCGTCACCAGGGTGAACACGCTGGAACAAAAGCAGTTTCCCTCAGGTCATCTTAGGTCTACTACAGCAAAGGCTTCCCGTCATCTCCCATCATCGGCGGGCGATTTTTCGTATTAGGCATCCGCCTCCACCTGGCGATCGAGCGCAAGAAGTGGTTTGCGGCGTGGGGCAAGTCAAGGCATGCTTTCTCTGTCATGTCAGTCTGACAAGGATAATCGTCAACATCAAAGATCTGGCGAAAGCACCTGCCTATATAAGACATTGCCAAATACTGTGTGGACATGGTGTCTTTCGATTCCTTCTGTTACTTGCTCCAACCCTCCAAAATGCCAAACCCATATACAGCAAATACTCTACGGCATGATATATATACGATATATATATATATATATATGTATTATGGTATTGTAATATACATTCAGGATCATATAGGTGTGACATGGATCGAGCCCTGCCGTCTGTCGGCCCCCGCCTCCAAACATGCACGCACCTCCTGAAAGACCTGCGGTCTTCCAACGGACGTGACGCCGCGGGGCCCGTCGCCGGGACCAAACGACCGACGTGGTGAACCGCTGGGAGCGGCGAGGTTCTCGGGGAACCAGCGCCGAGCACATCGGCACGTGGATGTGGCGCTGCCGACGTGTCTTGGATGTGGCAGGTGGTTTGGGGTTCGGCGGCACCGGCAGGTGTAAACCAGCAAGTGTTTTGGTTCACTGGTGGGAGTGCGTGGGTAGCCCACGAGAGCTACCTGGTCAAAGAGTCCTTCAACATCCTTCCGCCATGTATACCATTTACATGGACCACTTCAGATCCCCGCAGCTATCGAATTCATCGCGGAACAGGGACAAGAGCCAGCTTGCTCATTCATCACACACGTTCGCGCCATGATCTAAGAAGCTTCAAGTGACAAGTGCTTCCTTCTCTGACCTTTCCAAAGAATGATCTCCCAAGCTTCACCACTTGGCTGCCATGGTTGCTTCAATCACCTGTCATGTTCACCACGTCCGCCCAACATGCTCTGCCAGTTCGATCCGAAAACGTGGCCTGCTCCGGTGCTTGGTTGCCATTGACTTCCTTGAGCAAACCTTCGGCCTGTGGCGGCTCATGGGTCGCTCTGCGGTGGCTGGGTCTCATGCGTCGGTGAGACACCGGTGGCTTGGTGGTATTCGAAAACTCAACGGATCTCAACGGTTGTATTCAGAAACGGGGACAGTTGTAGGGTTTCTGAATCCCACAGTTTCTGAATACAGCGAAATAGTTTCTGAATACGACTTTGTTCTGGTCTCACCGGTGGTTTGCCCGGTCAAAGGCGGGGAAGTGATGGGACCAGAACCATCGAAGTGATCGGCGGTCCAAAGCTGATTCGGTGCACTCAAAGGCGCACTCACTGGTGCATTCTCATTGGAACATGCAAAAGCCATTCGTTTCAATGCGCCACCCCCGACCAAAAAGGAACATGTCTTGGAAATTATTTGTGCCGTCCGTTGGTGGTGAATTCACCAAGTGACTGGGGTGTAAGTGGGTGTCTCCTACGCTGTTTCAACTGCGTTGCGTTATATTGTGGGAAGGGCTCCTCATCGAATTTGTTCACTGTTATCAGGTGTTGCCTGTGAGTGGTCGGGCAGTCAGGCAGGACAACTTCCGACTGCCGCGGCCCGCGCCCCGATCTCCCGTGTGGCCCACCATGGTGCAACCGGGAAGGACCCATCCTCTAACCCGGCGGAGCCACACCAAGCAGTACCAAGCGAGAAGTCAGTGGCTCGGCTGCCTTAAAAAAGGCCAGGAGGGGATCCGTGTCGGCCTGAAACCTCAGAGACGAATGAGAAAAGTGATGAAAAGTGGCCCAATTCCAGCGCGTCGTTCACATCGATCAACTGTTCAACTGTTCAGATGTTGTAAGGACATGTGATCATGCCATATAGTTATACATCTGTGTCTATTCATCAGGTTTGTGCTCGCGGACATGGCCCGAAGTCAAAAGATGCAGTGATATCTCTATATTCTAACCATGCATGTTCAAAGTGACGAAGGTGGAGTCCACCTTGGCGTTTTCAACTCTGTCTACTCTTTCGGAAGGAATATCCCAAAAGCATGAGCGCAAGCAGTTTGTCTTGGACCTTCCGCTACCTGGTGAACCGCAGAGTGAACCGCAGAGTTACAGTAATGGCTATATATATATATATAGATGAACATCAGGAGTCATTGGCAGAGCCTCTTTCGACAACAACCCAAGAACTAACCAGTGACTGAATGCAATGGCATCTGTGTGGACAGTTGATTTCGTCGCTTGACAATGACGAATTGTTCCTCCACGTCCTGGCATGAGGTTCTTGACTTTCCCACCAGGTCCTAACTCACCAAGCAACCAAACAGTCTCCAAAAAGCACATCCGGCCGACGGGCGAGCAGCAAAGAGCTGGAGGCTGTCCGAGCCACGTGTTCAGCCGCTTCTCAATCACCTCCTCCTCATCGTCGACACGGCCAGAGCTCTGCGCGCGGCCCAGCAAGCGGCGGCGCATTTCTTCTCTGTCTACCTGTGCAGGTCTTGTCGCCCTGTTGCAGGCCAGCATGAACAAACATTCCATAAGCAAAGACTCATCAAATCACAAAAATTATCAAATCACGATTTCATGCTTCGGAGCAGGTTCAAAGGCATCGAGAAACTTCTCAACAGGTCTTAGAATTGTCTGAGTCTAGAGCACTTCTTTGGCTCCCCACTACGTGGACAGTGGACTCCACGGGAGCATGGCGGCCTCCAAGCTGATACAGCAAAGGAGCTGCACCTTCTGGCTGAGCTCGGTCTGGTAGCCCCTGCACCGCCATGGGCTGTGCAGTGCGTTCCGTTGGATCTTCCACGTGGGTGTGTGCGCGCTCTGCTTTGACCACTGTTTCCCTGTGGACACCTGGTCCAGAGCGATCAAACAGGACCACCACTTGGATTCCCGAGCTCTCGCACTGAGGGTTTGGGCACCCGAGCTCTCGCCGTTTCGTGTTAGTGTCGGTCTTTTGGGAAAAAGATGGAAAAAGGTGAGGCAAGGAATGTCAAGGAGCTAGACTCTCTCTCTCTCACTCTCTCACTCTCTCTCTCTCTGAGTATTTTAGAATGGACAGCTATAAAATGCTATAATACTATAAAAGCAAACCTGAAGCATCAGGTTTGGGAGGCGTTTGGGCAATTCCACGCGTTCTGTCCGTGTGTGAAGTTTGGATGTGAACACGCCTGATGACCTGTCTCATCATACTGATCCTGATAGATCCTGATTAGTTCGGCATCTTCTTTGGTGTCCATAGTCGACATCGACTTAGAATAACTTATATATATATAAGTATAGAACACGTATCCAGACTTCTAGTCCATGTTTGGCAATGCAAACTCTTGATTACAGTAGTAAAATACCCATATGAAAATAAACTCAAATGGCGTGGCTTATTGATCAAGGGTCTACATTACTTCTACCATCTTTCTCAAGTTTTGCTTCGACAGGTCCTTCCCCTGTCCTCAGTTGTTCAGCTGAGCGGGGATAGCCGTCCACCACGAAGCGCGCGGCAGGGCCCTCGGCCCAGGCGCCTGGCGGCGGGCGCAAGCCGCCGTCCACCAGGACGGGTCCCAGATCACCCATGGGACTGGAACAGTCAAAAAAACATACATATCCCTAGGGCTCCTGTCCCATATCTGCAGAAGTTGGTTAGACCCCCCTGGCACCCACCCCAACCACCTTTCAGGAGGTGGTTGGAGCCCTAGGGTATATACAGTGGGTGTATCGCATTTCGTGTAACAGTGGATGATGATGGTTTGGTTGCAGGCCTTTCTCTAAAGTCATGATAATTGTCTACCGACTGTTGCAAGTAGCGGGACACCCCCCATATATATATATATATCAAATATATATATATATATATGTCTAAAGAAATGCACACACCCATATTATATACTCGTATTTATATATATATATATATGTTTTTTTTTTTTTAATATGTACCCATATTTATCCCATGAAAGCGACCCAAGGTAACTCCTCCAGTCCCGTGGATGTGGGGTTGATGAAAGAAAACACCCCGGGTCTCCGCAGATGTGGCTGATCAATGCTGATCAAATGTTCTGAATCTGCTAATCGAGGGGAGAGGAGTGACCAAGTTTGACCACGGTGTGGTACTGTCACAGCGGTCTTTCATCAAAGCACACAGCTCACGCATGAAATCCGATTACACGCGTATCTTGTACACGCGTTGTCCTAGAACCTAACTAAAGTGTCTGAAAACCTGGCAATCTCAAACTCACAGCCATTCACTATGCCGACTATGCCACTATGCCACACATCCATCTCCTCTCCCTGAACCAGCTCTTCTTGCAAAAGCATCCTTCAGGCATCACAAGCTCTTCAGCTCCAGTCACCAAGCACCCCTCTCAGCTCAGGCTCAGGCACGCACGCCTATCTTCAATGAGGGGACCTTTAAGCCCATGACACCCACAGCCTCATCCAGCCGCCTCCAGGAGCGTGGAAAACTGTGCGTGCTCACACGTGACAGTTCAGTCTCAATAAAATGAACAGCAGGTCAGGACGCGCAAGGTAAATGTGATAAACAAGTTAGCGATCTATCCATTTGACTATGTGCAAGTACTCAGCTTGACCCTTTGGACATATTGAACAAATCAAAAACATTTGGACCTATTTGGAACCCTGGCCACCCGATCTGAGCGACCAGAGTCACTGGAGGTTTTGGCAATCTACCACCAGACTCATGAAAACCACCGGGACCACTCAGCAGTTGAAAAAAGTTGATACATCCAGGATCATCCAGGCATCTCTGCAAGCTCTACGGGGGCGTTGTGACTTCGAAGTGCTCTCAGTCGAAGTGATCTCTTACTCGGTTCTGCCATGTTCCGTTGCCGTCCCCCGTTGACCGTGGTCTATGACCAACAACTATAGTTACTATTACAATCTATTACATAGATGGATATCGATGGCTTGTAAGAACCAGTTCGAACGGTCGGCACCGGTTCTGCCGTTTCGCGCCTCTTCTCGGGCTCCTGGAGGTGGAAGTGGTCCAGTTCCATGGTGACGAAGTTGGCACCATCACGGGTGCGGAAATCGAGCACATAGAAACCGAGAACAAACGCCTCATCGAAGCGATAATGAAAGATTTTTTGTCCTACGCCAGCCTGCCATGCCCAGAGAATTTTATTCTTCTTCACATCCCTGGTGTAGAAAGGGTCCAAGATCGAATCGATCCAGTCAGCAACTTGAGAAAGTTCATCCTCCACGGAACCCTGAAAATTCACATCCACGGGCTCCTCTGGATGCTCCTTCCAGGGTTTCGAACGTCTGACACCTAGGGGATCCCCCAAAAAATCAGGAAGACCTCCCTGCGCAGGCCCAGGGAGGACCTCAAAAAAGACCACCGTGGAGGACGGTGACCATGTTCTTTAAAACCAAGTGGTAGTTTTGAGAGCCCCATGTGTCTCCGTCAAAACCAGGTCAACTCCAGGCAAAACCAGGTCCTTGTTGTAGGCCTCGAGGACTTGCTTTCTGGTGAACTCATACACAAACGATACAGATCCATCGGTCATCGGAACGGGATGGACGGGATGAACGGGAGCCAAAAAGGTCTCAGTATGTCTCAGTATAAGACATTCCTGGATGCTTTCAGCTGGGGATGGCAAGGTTTGGTCATGTTTGGTCCATGGTGCATAGAGGTGGGGAGAAAACACGAAGAGATACGAAGAGTATACATCTTTTTCATCCTGGAAGATGTTGGGAACTTGGGTCGGCTCCGCTTTCAGAGCAAGCCAAAGAAAAAGAAACACTGGTCACATCAGAACTTGGGGAATTGAAGTCACTGGACTTCCTGATGCACGGCGGCTTGATGTCCTTCATCTATGCGGGTGATCATTGGTTGGTTCACGTCACCCACTCCAGGAATTGGAACTCTCGCAGGCGCCGGCACCAGCCCCACTCAAGTTCACTCACACTGCTGTGAAGGAAGCTACACTTTCGCCCCACTCCATTCAGTGAGGCGTTCATCTCATTAGCCATTGCATCTGAGAGAAACCCTAATCCCGGGGTCGGAGAGTGAGCCTCAGCACCTTCCAGTTGCCAAACAAGTGTGCAAAGGCAACCGGCAACCAGCAGTTACAAACGCAAGGTGACACCTACAGTCACTGCTAGTAGTGGGTCATCTCTGTTCACTCAGATTGAACTTACTTCAGCCACATGTTCTCATCACCAAGGAACCAAAGAGACGAGATGAGCCGATCGCTTCACCAACTCCCGTGGTTTCCACCACAGCAAGACGAACATCCGCCTGCTTCCCTCATAGCTTGTTCCAGCAGCTTGGCGATCACCTGAAGACATTCGAAGACAAAAAAGGCAAGGGACACCCCATGTCATGCAGCATGCAAAAACTGGAAGTCAGCTATTCGTTGTTCTCGCTCACTTGTCTTTAGCCATGCTGTGAGGGTGAGTTCGTCTCAATGGAACCTAAGCCAAAGGACAGTGGCCACAAAGGTGGCTGTGTCCAACTAAGACATCGTTGGATGGTGCAACAGGCCATCGGCTTTTCAACAACACTGCGCACTGTACCTGTATGAAGCAGAAGTTCAGCCCTCTGGTCAGCCAGCTTACTTCTTTATTTCGGAATGAAGCTGCGGCCACTGATGCAACTTTAAGATTCAACTTCTGAACTAGAAGGAAAAACTTCAAGTTGTCATGTGCAACTGTACGTGGGGTTCTTCTCCAAAGGCCTGACATAGTTTGGCTAAGGTCAGGCATGGCATCGGCTGATGTATCCTGCACGCTACTTGCATGGGATCTGATAATATAGACTGACTCTTGATTAATGTCCACCCCATGTGGATTGCAACACCTCATCATATCGTTCATATCGGGGGTGTTCTTAATCAAGAGTCTACATTAGGGGAGTTCCCAATCCCCATGCCCCCCTTACAGTTATTGAACAAGCGCCAGAACCCGCCCATTCATCGAACCGGAAGCCTCCCACCCGCCTCGCTGGGCACAGGTTTGGCGGCTTTCATGGCCTCCTCAGAGAAGGTAAACAACGCACTAAGCGCTTCAGGCCATGGACGTCCGCCGCAATGATCTCCCAGGATCCTAGAAGAATTGATCAATGGCCTTTGCATTTTAAGAGGGAACATTTCACCCCACCGATGTGTTGTGCGGTCTGTTTTCCTTCTTCCTGAGGGTCGACCGGGGGTCTCCATTTTCACACGTTGTTCCCACGGAGTCGACTGGGATCCGCTCCCTGATCTTTGACTGATGGATGTTGGAACCACTGAGTATCAGCGAAGCACTGGTGGTACCCGAATGGCACCAACGAAGCTGCGTTTTCGTGATGCTTTCTCGAGGTGTTTCGGGTTCCCGCCCGTGGCCCCCACCCAGAAGAAGCCTGCATACTACCGACCACGGGCTTCATCACCAGTCTAACCAGGAAGAATAGGCAGAATCATTGGTTGCTTGTCCATCACACTCACTGTCACTTTCCAAAGAGAAACCTGGACTCAAGGGATTCCGCTTCAGTCCCAAGGAAGGAATTCTGAGTTTCGACGCCTTTCCGGTTTTCAGGAGTTGACATAATATAGACTTTTTGCTTCAAATGATCCACATACTGATCATTCCATATCATTCCAGCTGGGTGGGCCTCAATCTCTTCGGCCAAGGGCGATCCTTTTCGGCTCCTCTCCTGTGCAAAGCCCGACACTCCGTAGTACCAATGCGGTTGGCGAAACTACAAGCACGATCTATACTCTTTAAAAAAGCACATTCCTGAATCTTAATTACACACACAATGCAGGTCTACACCCTATAAGAAGAAAGGCGCAACACGCTGCGCAACATGCTGCGCGTACTTTGCGTTCGTCGCACGCCTTTTGCGTGCCCCCTTGGGTGGCCGGAGTGAAACATAAAACAAGCAGAAAAGGTGCACCTGTCGGAGGAGCTCGCCAGCGCTCAAGTGTTGAAAGCCCAGCTCGGAGACGACCAGCTCCTCGGAACGAGACAAACTGTGACAGACTGATTAAGAACAGCAAAATTTGGATTGAACCTCCTCTTCCATCCTCAATCTATTTCTGGGGTTGGTGATTTTTCACGGAGACTCGGAGAGATGCAGCGAACGTGCACGCAGGCAGCGGCGGGCTGTGCAGGAGGTCACGTGCGGCAGTTTTGGGGTCCAAAAGCCAACGATGGACTTGGGACCAACTGAAGTTGGTCCTTTTTTCCCCAAACAGTGTGGGCACACTGAGGGGTTCTTACGGTAAGTGAAAAGCAGCCGTTTGGGGTCTCTTGCCGGGATAATTTGGCTGAAGGTCTGACCAGGCCCTGCTTTCTTAGATATAGGGACATCTGCCCAAAATCGCCTTTGGGCTTCGTGCGTCGGCTGCGGGGGCCGAGTTGCCCTTCCAAGGAATCATGGTTGGATCCTATCTGGTGATACCTGCAACCGAGCTGCGCACTGCGTCCCTGGCCAAAAGCGAGCGCGCACCCGCCCTACCATCCCTCAACACACTCTGGGAGGTGCTTGCTTGACTATTTCCAAGAGGATACAGGAGGTGAATGGCCCTTGAAACTTCTGGCCGCCATATATCCAAGTAAGTACTAAGTACGGTGTTTGTATTTGTCCATCACCAATGGAGTTCAATTTGGTCAATGGCCTCCCAGGCTGCCATGATTGAATGTGTTTGATATTGTTTGATTGCTGCTAGGGCGTTTTTTGACTTCCTCCCCGTGACTCCAGGTGCTCTCCAAAGTTAGCGGGTCTGGCTCCAAGTCTGGAGGAGAAGTGGGATGAGGAGGGCCTGGCTCCAGTCCCCAATCGCAGCGAGCTGCGAGGGTGATACTTCATATCTCCGGGCGGCAGTGACAACCAGCAGTCACAAGACGGGGTGCCTGTTGGAGGAAGTCGGGGTGCCCAGCTACTCCACTCACTGGATGGGACGAGCCACACCACCCCGACATGTGACTCCTGGAATGTGTCTTTTCATTTTGCCCCAAAGTTGGAGACAGGGCGCGACATCACGAACAACCAAGTCATTTAGAGCGAATGGCACTGTGAATTGACCTGGTATGGCCAGCTGCCTTTACTTCGGGGCGCTCCAGCCAATATAAAGGGCTCTCTACTCATCCACCCGATCTCTCACGTACCTGGGTCAGGCTGCGCATGGCTGCGCCAAAAAGAGGAGGCAGGTACTGTACATCACGTGTATGTCTCAAAACAGGGCGTGCCCGGTGGCCTCTCAATCATTACATATCATTACAGTAATGTTGAAATAGGATTAATGAACCCCCTATTAATCAAGCCCAGCTCAAGCCCCCAATACTAAACTATATAACTTAAAACCTAAATCTAATAATTATTTTCCTTGCCAAACCCCCCCATATTAATCAAGCCCAGCTGCCCCAGAAAAAAAAAAAAACACTTGCTCAGTAGTAAAGTGTTTAAAACTGCAGTCTAAGCTGCAAATGTTCTCCCCAGCAAGCTTTGTTTCACAATCCCCAGAAACCTCTCTAGCACAATTATTACATTATCCTCTATTAAAACTCTATCAACCTCTTAACGTTTTGAAGCTCCGAAAGGGTACCCCTCACACAGGCCTCAGTGTTCACACAGAATCCTATCAACCATCATCCATCATCAGGTCATCACCTTTATTGGGGGGATGTGGTCCTCCAATACCTCCAATCTCAAACCTTGTTGACCTTGTTGACCTTGCAGGGGGGCCCATTGATTAATCCGACGTCGACATCATATAAAGTGGCTTCAGAGTAGATGGCACAAACTCAAAGATGTCTTGTTATATGAGCTCCATATAAACCATTCTTTGAGGATTGTGCCAGCTGCTCTGAAACCACTAGTGGTTCAGCCGAATGGTCTGCCGCTCGTCAGGCTCCACCGCCGTTGCCCTTTCCCCTGCCTTTCCCACTGCCAGGGCCGCCGATGACAAAGGCCACCTCTGGCTTGGTCGCATGCAGCCTGACAAGCTCTGGGAATCGGCTCAACCTTCTCGCGGATGGCACAAACCCCAATGTCAGGTGGTTTAGTAGTGGACCCCCATCTGTCTAGGACATCATGGGGTCTGTGCCATCGAACCTCTGAAACCACTGTAAATGGAGAGGAGGGCCACCCACTCTTCCCACCCGCCTAGTACTGACACTACGACTTCCGCGGCGAGGAAGACGGCCGTTCTTCACCACTCCGGCACACCGTCCCGTGAGCCACGCCAGGGCCGCACCAGAAGCGGGCGTGACCGCCTGGCGAGACGACGGAGGCCACGGACCAGGCCTAGGGCCTCCCCCCACACCTGGGGCCTCCAGCCGACAGGCACAGTCTTCTTGCATGGGCTCTTCTTGAATATACGGGTGGATAGGGCCGGGCGGCCAGGTCTTGGAGAACTCTAGATTGCATGATCCGAGTCCTGAGGAAGTCGCTTTATAAATCATAAAGGATTCCACAAGCAAGTTATGGGCTTGCGGCACGTGGGGGCAAAGGACTTTATATACAGGGAAGCTCTTCCAAATGAATCGCTGAGTTCGGGGGAGCTTCCACATGTCCAAGGCTGAAGATCAATGGTAGGAAGCAATTAGAAACAACAAATAGGATGACCTTGTAATCATCCATGGTCCACCCTCGAATTGCCAGCTTGCAAGCAACCTACTGCTGCCGCCTGCCATGATGTGACACGGGCACTGGCGTAAACTCTTTTTGCCGCCACCACAGAACCTGTGAGAGGTGAAGGTGATTCTGTGCGCAAATGGTAGTTTGGGTTGCTGATGAGGCAGTTAATCAGGGGTAGCTGTATCTGAAGTGGTGAAGAGGGCAATCACATCAACCCCACTCTCTCGCCAATCTCGTCATTCATGAGGGCCTAAAAGGGGCAGGACATTTTCCATCCCTCGAGGAGCTTCCTATTGCACGAGTGAGCGTAGTCGATGCCGAACCCTTCCGCCGGGTCGGAGAGTTGATGGCGTAGTCGACGCAGAATCAATAAAAACTGAGTGACCTACGTTTTCAAAAGCCTGACAACCATTTCATTCATGTTCATTCCCGACGAAACACCACTCCGGAAAACACACCTGCTCAGTGATCCACACTTCAACAATCTTGGTGTTCACATGTTTTCACTATGTTCAATGTCCGGTCTCAACAGCACTGCGCGCCTCCGGGCCCTGACAGTGCCAACTTCCGATCTTGCTCGATCATCTCCCGATATCTTTTCTATAGAGTATAGATAGAGAAGTAGATCCCCACTAAAAATGTATATTGGACATCGTGCCACTTATCTATTTTGGAGACCACTATACCAATTGTTGCCATCTGTCTTAAAAGCATTGCCTTGCAGTCGCGCAAGGCAATAGAACTGCTCACGGCCACTCCGGATATTGTCCACCCCACGGGACACCAGTCGCTCCTGTGACAGGCGAAGCCGCCACCGGTGTGGCTCGCAGTGCCAGTGCCAGCGTCATGCTTGAGCCACGATGGCTAGATAGATCCCAGCACTGGGAGAAACAATTCCTGTGTAATGCCCTCAGTTTTGGACTCAAATGACTCCCTCAAATGCCAGGACCAATGGGAAGTCTTGTTGTCACTTTCCCTCTTGCGGAAATCGTTCATGACAAATCACACATGAGGCCCGGGGTGCTACAGGGTGTTGATTGACGTTGCCAATCAACAGCATGCTCAAAATAGCATGTCTAAGCCATACCGGCCATCACTGAATCAACTCCTTGGTGCCGACTGTCTTGGCATCCAAACACATGTCACAGGGAGACCTTCCCGGCTGTGCCGCCGCCAATGCTACTCAAGACATCTGTTCAGATCATCCTGTGCCGCAAAAGGCCACTGCGAACACGGCCTTTTGTGCTGACTCAGCGGGGGTTTTCCAACCTGCCGTGGTGGTCTCATGGGTCCCCCCACCAGAACGATCCAGGTGAGTGTTGAATGGTGAACTTGCTGATCATGTGGTGTCAGTGACGTTGGGCCTGTCCCTCCCCCCGAGAAAAAGACACACACACACACACACACCCGCGCGCACCCGCTGGGACGGAAAAAACATGATCAAGTGAAATTGGCAGATCTTTCACGTTGAACAGTCCCAAAATGTCCCAAGCAACCCCGTCGCCCTGTGGCTCTCTGTCTTCTTTAAGACGCCGGCTTCAGGTCTCGGGTTCTGGCGTGTTCTGTGTGTCGTGGACCATCAAGGCTGGTGTTCAGGCCTGGAGTCCATGATATCCAGGTGTCGCCATGCCTGTTCCAGGCAAAAAAAGCCCCCCAAGCAGATGGGGCTAAGATTTCCAGAGCGAAGACCCCAACGAAACAGGGCGAAAACCCATGGACATCCCTGGTCTCACCAGCTGTGGTCTCGTGAACTGCTTGTGGTGCTCACCAGCAGAATCCCAAGTAATGTAAGTCAAGCGAAACATCAATGGATTAAATAAGGGCTACCTTGCATGATGATCTATGCAAAGCCTATGTACAGTATCATATCCGCTCTGTTCAGTATTCATGCCCTCCCCAAATGACATGACTCACTATGCAAAACAGGGATGCTCCCTGTCCCTGAGCTTTTTGTGCACTATATAACTATATAGTCATAACTTAACATGTTATAACCTCTGCTTTCTCATGGTGTGACGCAGCTTCGCCCTTCTCGAGGCTTCAGATCTTCAGCCTTGAGCATCGGCCTTGTCACCGGCCATTGCCCGAAGGCTCTTGTTAAGGTTCCGGTGGAGCCTTGTCTCAATACAATCAGGTCATGGCATGTCTCAAGCTAAACGGGGGAGAGATCGATTGAACGTGACGGAGCAATACATCCTGTTGCTTGACGCAACATACAACCAAGCAGGACATCCGGTTCATTTCTTAGACACATCACTCCCATATAACATGGTCAGTGTTGTCTTGAACCGCTTGCTCAATTGGTGCTCAACTTGCTTGACACAGGAAAAACACACAGTGCTTTTAAGAAAAAGGGCATGGTCGAAACTGTGGACCGTGGGTATGGTAGGGTATGGTTGTCCTACCCGCATGGTAGGCGACCAGCACAAAGGTCACCATTGGCCAAGTGTTCAGACCTTGACAACACATGGTGCGGCTTGGATGATTCACATCAGGTTCCACCATCAAACTTCCATGCAGCTTCGACGATGGAAGACACCGCTGCACCGTGGGCCCTATGGCAAATACCACAGTGATGCGGGGCCTCTTCCAACACTGAAATGGCAGTGGGTCATGCAAATCGTATTTTGAAGTGCTTTGGATTTCCAGGGGTCAAAAAATGCGTGACAAAACAACCCATGTCTGAACTGCCACATCTGCGAAGCCCAAAAGGCCTGTGAAATACAAAATATCCATCGACATCAAAGGTTGGAGCAGGAGCGGAAAACGATCCAGCTCGATTTTGAACAGACAAGTATATAGATGTATACATATGTCGTCAATAGCAACATATAGTGTATCTTGAGGAAATTGGACTGGTTCCAACCCTGCATCAGCCTGGTCAAAAATGCAGAAACTCTCAAGACCTCTGAAATTCGACTCGCGACTCGTGACATGCCGATGAAACGGTTCAACAACAAGACTCGTTGCTTGATGGACTTGGCCAAGGAAGGCGCCGCAGTTCTGCAGCATCCAAGCATATCCAAGCCTAAGCTATGCTTGCTATGACTCTTGCTATGCTAGCATCTCATCATGTCACTTCTCAACATCACTTTCTACAGTAAATCTATTCCGTCACACGGTCGACCCACAGGTCGACCCACAGGACGTGCCTGCTTGCATCGGTGCCTTATCAAACTTAAGACTCAAAGCACATTGGGGTGGACCTCCATTTGGGACTGTCTGAAGGTCAAACCTCCAGATTCCTTCACCGGCTCACATGGACCACGTCTTTCACATGGACTAATTACGTCTAAAACGAAGCACATGATCGAGGTCTTGGGAGTCGTCCAATTCGGAGAAAACACACACAACACACGCGCAAACGTCCACTCCCAGCAGATCTCCAAGATGCACCGTGCGTCGCGGAGCGAAAGGAGTGAGTGGAGTGGGAGCGTGGTTTTCCGATGGCATGTTGGGTCGTTCATCGGGGAAAAAGCGACCGCAACAGTGGCGTGGTTGGGTGCAGGATCACCCATTACTTTCACGGATGGCATGTGAAAAAATCTACCAAGGGATGGAAAAATGGAGGATGTTGAGGATGGTGGGGGATGTGCCCAGGGGTGAGAAACCACCAGTGTTTCATTGGGTGTCCATGCATGTGATGTCGACAGAACCGTGCACACAATCTATGGATTGATCGCTGGAAGATTTTTGTTTGGAATCGCTCCAGTTCGAGTTGCTAGCCCCATCATTCCAAGGCCGAGGTCCTAATCACGCAACTAGTAGCGCCTCACAGCACGCTATCTCCAGATCTCTGGCAGTTTGGAGTTCAGACCATCAAATTGTGGTCGTCAATCGAAAGCTGAATAATGTTAGCATCCCTGGCACCTGGTATTGTCTCGGGGATGCGTCATCCATAAAATATCACTGCGGCCCCAGTGTCGCCAGACTATCCAAGCAGCGACCAGAAAACGAGTCTGTTCCATTTCTGATGTAGACATGGTCCCTCAAGAGGCTTGGGGTCCCTAGACGGCACATCATCTGACACACATGACCCTCATATCCCCATGACCCCATGACCCTCTGTCCCTGCCAGACCCGTTCCAAACGTTCGTCCGGTTGACCAGACAGGTCGGGCCGTCCGGCTCAGCTCCGCTTTCGGCTCGTCTCAGCTCCGCGAGCTCGGCTCGGATCGAAGGGATCTGAACCCCTGGCGCCGTGACTTGATTGATCAGTTGTCACTTCTACTGAGGTGCCTGAGGTGCCGAGGTGCCAACCAACACAGGTGAAGTGACCGTAAATAGGACCCGTCACCTGGGGTATCTATATATGTACCTATAGGATAGTCTAGTTCAGGTTCTTCAACCACGGCTGGAATGCGACAGGGAACTTCCCTCCACCAACGTTCAACTTGCCCCCGTAGGTCGCTATTAAGTCGATCTTCAGCGGGGCATGGTCCTGCGTGCTTAAGGCACGGAAGGAAACACAGAATTTGGCAGTGGAAGTAATAAAGAATGAAACGTAATGCCTGGTCCTATTCGAAGACTCATCAATAACCTTCGTTCTGAGGGTCTCCTGGATTTCACCTCCCCAACTCGAACCATCCGTCAAGAACATCCGGATGAACAACCAACTGGTGGTCTGTAGGGAATCGGGGGAGGTTCCATACAGAATCCTTTTGGATCCAGCTACCCTCAGTCCTGGCGAGCTAAAACTCAGGACTGAACCAGCGAGTCACATCGCCCTCCACGCGGGAAAAGGAATCACGCTTTTCGCCGGGGCACGCTACTTTTCTTTTTCGCCGGCTCTTCGACTGAAAGCTGTGTCTGGCTACACCAGCCGGGAGGCGGGCTAGTTGATGGATGCTTGTGGGACCACATGCCCGTCCGTCTGGCCAAATTCCCTTCTGAAGACACCATCTTTGAGTTCTTCTGAAGTATGTGCCCTTGCTGAATCTTGCTGATTGATTCCGGGCTTGAAAAAGGCAAATCATCCATTCTAGCTGTAGATCATGATTTGAAAAAAGGCTCTTGACCCAAAGATCCCAAAGTTGTTGACAAAAAACATTGACCAACGATTCGACTAGTTCAAGAAGACTAAGGATGGAAGAAAACCCATAAACCCATAAACCCTCAGCATCATTCAATCTGCCCGCCTGGCAAGTCTGGCAAGTCTGGCCCCGTCTCACTCCTACTCGTCGTCATCCCCATCCAAACGTTCGATGTCCTCATCGGAGTCGGCCTGAGAAGGAGCGGTAAAGCCACGCTCGATCGAGCATCAGCCCTGAGAACCGGTGCTCTATATAGGCCTGAACACTGGTGCTCGTTCGGCCTGAAATTCTTCGGCCTTCCAAGAAGGTTTGGACGACATGGATCGCATGTTGGCCCTGGAGAAAAGACCTGAGCAACTCTGCCTGATATGGCACCCCTTCTGACCAAGCTTGCCCAGGAGGGAACTCATTAATGTTCGGAAGTGGCTTCCATGGAGTTCGTTACAAAGCCAGCCGAGCCGAAGCGGCCGAGCCGAATCCACTTCTCTCTCTCTATGTATATATATATATATACACGTAGTCCCTGAGCGTGATAAGTGGCAACCCGTCTTGTTACCAAGCAACCTTGAACAAACGATGGCAATACTACAAACGATGACAGCATGCAAATGGCAGCCTAACCAATCGTCAGGGTAGCATTCCGGAAACGCAGCAGAGTAGTTCTCCTGAAACGACTGCAAGCATTATATATCATAAGTACAAAGTACTGTAACAAGAATATATGTATATGATATAGACAGTATCTCCTCTACCTGACCCTTTACCTAATGTCAATTTCACATGCCGTTCTGCCATGCGAAGCACCACAAGTACAAGTCCACAACATGGCACCTCCTTCTGAGGTTGCCAAACGGTGGAGAGCCGGAGCACTGGGTCGCCACCTGAGAGCAACCAAAGGAGGCGACCCAGATTTGCTTCCACAGCTTAAGGTGATGAGAACATGCAAATCACCACTTAAACGTGCTTTATAAAGAGCTTGGTGGGGAGTGAACACGTCTTACATGTATTTTAAGGTGTACTCTGCACCGTGCACATTAAATTATCGGCATGGACTGCAATTTCTATTAGATAAAGGCATACACAGTTATACACTTATATTTATAAATATATATGTACAGTAAATATGTAGTTAAATAAAAACTTGAGAAAAACATATATATGTACAATTACGCATAATTATGTTTATAATGTTTATATACACATCACTGCACATCATAACATATGTTAAGATCCACCCGTAAAACCCTAGAATGACCTAAGTCAAAGGAGCTGAGATGATCCATCCTCCCTCACCACCCCTCCGGTCGCCGGAAGCAAGTCACAGGGTGGAGGTGCCGCAAGCACATGGCAGCTGCATTGGCACACATCCACACCCTCAGGCCAAAGACTTTCGCATGACACACGCCCAGTGCCTGGCACAGCTTTCAATCTCCAACATGGTTGTTTCAACAACCAACAAAAACCACCTGTTGGAGTCTGGAGACGATGAAAACGCAGCGATTCACATCTCCGGGTCTAGGAACGCCAGCTCGAACACACCTTCCACCCCTCCACCCCACCTGCCAGGGCCTTTTCTTCCACCGCTTCCGCCAAGGCCGCCGCGCGACTGAGCAGCCGCAGGTGCAAACGCACCTGCCGAACCGCCGTGTGCGGCCCGAAAACTGTGGCAGACCGATGTGTCCAATGTGTCCAAGAGTATCCGCTGTTCCGTGGAGTCTCGGTGTCACCTACTACAGTACAGTACCTCTTCTCCCGATTCTTCCCACTGGGAGGTGATTTGGATGTCCGACACCCGAAGTGGATGGTCTTTTGCTGCCGATCTGAACATTCAGAGGCACTAGTTGGCACTCATTGGCGCTCATTCAATTCAAGGACCATCAATCAGGTTGAGGCCATGATGAAATTGGGACCCAAACCAAACTCTCACAGACCAGGACCAGTGTTTTGTTCTTCTTGTTGCGCCACAAACCTGTGCTCGTCGGAACACATCTGGTTAAAAACAGAACACGAACCCTTCGGGAAGAAAACCACAAGTCGTATGAAATCTTAAATACAAACATCAACGACGTTGTTCAACAAAAAAACATCGAACACATGCACGAACCGAAAACAGAAGAAACATCGAACAACATGCGAAAAGAAAGATCGAACCATCCGTCCCCTTCTTCGGATCTGCCGGCAAAATCCGCCTCAAAGCCCACGCCCTCACAGCCGGGGCCGCTCACGTGAAGTCCCAAGACCACACTCCGAGCGACCGCAGCGCTGCGCGAGCCCGAGCTGTGCTCGTCACTGGACTCCATGTGGAGGCAAAGGCCCATGGGGTAGAGCATGAACCTGTGGAGCTGAGCTGGCAGGCTGGAGTCTGCAAATGTTTCAGCTTGGACCCGAAGGATGGGATCTGTGTGTGTGTATTTATTCTCGGTAAACTCTGTTGATCTTGGCGTCGGTTCGATTATGTTCAATTCCGGGAAGGTCTGCATGAAGCAACATCAAGGAATATTGAATAGGGATGTTCAAAACAGGACTAATATCTCATTGTAGTTCTATAGTTTTCTATATATATATAATATAGATATATACGACAGTGACTGTATACTCATCTGCTATCTAAGCATGCAAAGAATCCGAGGAGCCACAGCTGATGAATGGATTTCCATGTCAGTATTGAATACTGATGATCATGTTTTTTCACAGTGAAAAAATGAAAAGTACCGAATGGAAGAACTCATTATAGCCTGGGATTTTGCACAGCTTTGGGCCACTGAAATGTCATCCATCACAAGAACCTCTGCCACCGCAGCTGAACATCTGCGACGGGCGACCGCGGACGCGACCGCGGAGACCGTCCCCCACCGGCCGGTTGGAGGCCGGTGGTCCCGAGGGCACGTGAAATCAACCTCCGGAAAGCCCGGCAAGTGGAAGTGTTGGCATTCGCATTGGCCACGCGCTGCCGCGCCGCGCCTGAACTGGAGGATGTTGGCAGTCAGCGGTCAAGCGCCAACGCTAGTGTGTGTGTTTTTTCAATCATTCGGTTATTGCGGGCTCTGCCACTCTTTTCGTTTGCAAGTCAAGGTCTAGCTCTCAGGAATGTAAAGTGCTAATCTCACTGGGAAGTTATAACTCATACAGCTCTTGCGAGCCATGATCTAAGTGTGTGTGGCCCATTGGAAAGCCGGGGAGGTTTGCGAATTGAGCACAATCACTTGGGGATGTCTAGGGTTTTCCATGTTTCTTGCTCTCTTGTTGCTTGCCCTTTGTTCTTCTCTCTCTCTCTCTCGCCTTTACCAGTTTGGTTTTCAGTGTGCTGCATTCAGGCCGCAAACAGTAGTAGCGTTCATCTTGGTTCTTGCACTCTGCACTTGTTTTGGATTGTCAAAAAAGTTTGAGTTTATGGATGGCCTTCAGCACCTGACCACTGCCATCAACACACCCCTGGCGCAATTTGGTGTGCTTTTGACCAGACTTGAGGTTCTGTGCAGGTGGAAGGCTATCATCCCAATCCCCACCCCTTAACCCTCGGTTGTCGTGCGTTGTCATGTGCTTGGAGTGACCACCTGAAACTTCAAGTTGAAAGCAATTTTGTGGTGGTTGCTGCACCGATTGGCCAGCGACACATCATTCGGTAGCAGGTCCGGAGTTCCCAACGGCGCGGCGCGGAAGACGCGGCCTGAGATAGTGAGCCCGCATGCGGCCGGCGTCCAGCATCTTCCACTCCGCCTGCCGAGTGAAACTGGACAACACGGCAGACGTGTTGAGAGACATACCTTCCCAGCCCGAAGGAGAGGGGCCGGCATAATGATCTTGACACTGATCTTGTCTTGACCTATAATTATATATAGTTGGAAGAACAAATTGTACAGTAAATTAGAATGGACATGACTTGCACTGCTTCGCAGGCTCCCAAATCTGAACCAACTGAAACCATCTTATGATCCAACACATATGATGCACTTTGCCCACCCGGTCCCCCCATTGTGACAGTCTGTCACGGGCAGCACCTCGGATGTTTCGTCCGTCTTGACGTGTAGCTTTCGGTGAGTCGGGAGGGATGGAACTTGCATATGATGGGTCAACAACGATTGGGGAGGCGACTAATTAACCACATGCCACTGACCCACTGCCATGCCAGTATGATCCTTGCATATTATGTTCTCCGACGGGGCAATACTTGAATAATGATTGTACATTATATGTATATTTATGTGCATTTCACTGGATTTGGTTCATCATGAATATTCAAGAATCAACAGTATCAGAAAATCAAAGCCTGCCATTGGGTGGAATCAGCATTGCACCAGCCAATCTCGTGGTAGCTTTGGTGAAACAAAGAAGAGCGAGAAGTGAGAACAACCTCAGAGAAGAACAGGGATCCAAACCAGCATCGGTGCTCAGCCTCCCAGCTGACACCACCCGACCATGAGATAGATTTGTCATGATTTGACCAACATGGGGTCTTCAAATCCACATGTTCTCCCTGGAAGAACACCAGAAACACGCCGCAACAGTGCCCCAAACGAAGCCCCAACCACGCCGGTCGGAGACCGCCGGTCTGCCGCGTCTGCTTCGCCGCCTCGCCCTCCACGCTTCGGAGCTGCGAGAGATCCAGGCGTCGACACTTGGGATCCATGGCGCGGCCCGTGCGAAACCCCGTGGGACGTGCAGGGATGAGGTGGGGGGGATGAGGTGGGGAGGATGGGGTGTGAGATGGTGAGTGGCAGTGTCTGTGCGGGTTGGAAGGTTTGTGGGTTGGAGGGGTCTTTGGGTTTCAGGGCTGGCTTCGTGGCTGGAAGCCTGCTTCCAGCCACGAGTAGCACGGGCGGGCAACTCACTTTAAACGGAGGTCAGGCAGTCAAAGGATTTTCGTGTTTGATCTAGAATCTAGACTGTTATTATAGATCTCCTCCAAACACCCTTGTTTCAAGTAGGAGGCAACTCTGTGGCATTTTCTTGAAGACCTTCCTACAGACCTTCCAGGGGCATTTGTCTTGGCCTTGGCATGGGAGGTTGGGAGGTTTTAATCCATATCCGGAAGCCATGACTAATCTGGAGAATGAAACCAGCTGATTTTAGCTGAACGACACGTTGCGTTGAATTTCACAGTGGAGGTGGCAGAGATTCTGCAAGCAAACACTTAAAGACCTACACAACTCAACACACAGCGTGAAAGCGAGCCAGGCATGGCTGCTGAACATGCGTCAATCGTCTGAGAGGTATCCCAGAGCCCCTTTCCCCACCAAATCAGCCATGTCTTGGATGTTCAGCACTCAACCTGTTTTCAAACAATAGCGTGTGACCGAAGAGTCGTCTTTGCAACTCCTTTTGCTTGTGGGCGAAAGGAGTTAGCCACGTGGAGAGGCGCCGTCGCGCCACCTCAGGTGCAAGAAATGCACCCAAAGCATCCCAAAGTGAACGATGCACTCTGACTCATAGACGATTTTGAATGATGTTGGATGACTCATTGTCCTTTACGAATAGGGTGGACACTCCACTTCCATGTAATGTCTTCGACATATGTGGACACAGGAATCCACCGGTCGGTTCTGTGGAGATCTGAGCGGTCAGTCCCTCCTTCGATCTGTTTCGATCCAAAGCGACTGGAGATATTTGGTGGATTGAGAGGACCAATGGCTCAGACTCCCCAAGAGATGGTGGTTTAGTAGTGGACCCCCTGACCAGTCTAAGACATCGAACGGGGTACCAGTGCCATTTCTCACCTCTGGAAACCACCGCAGGTCGCAGCTCCGTAGGTCGGAACACTGGAGGAACGGCGGATGCTTCTGCTGTGGGACTGAACGAAGTCATAGCTGTCATAGCTGGTGCTTCTGCTGTCATAGCTCGGACAGAGACCAAAGGCCCGGCCCAAGTCCATCAACAGCGGCTGTCCAAAAGAGGGAGAATCAACTGAGGGCTCTTTTGGTTTGTATCATGTCTTTCTGTGCTGAAGGTCGCAAACTACGGTAGGGCCTGCACACCCGCCCAACATGTTGAGAGCCTGTGGATGTTCCCCTTTGCTTTTTCCTTCAGCCCGCAACCCAAATGAAAGAGCCACCCGTGCTTCTCACCTACTGTGGGCACAAGAATTATCAAAAGCAGAACACTGCACGGTTTTTGCATGAACGAATGGGGTCCACTTCAGTCATCCACCCTGACTCCACACCAGGTGGCTCATGGCCGACCTGCAAATTGAGGAGTCCCTGAGCAGGATCCGGAGCCAGGTGGGGGGAAAAAGAGTCCCTGCTGCACGTCAGGGACTGCAAACACACTTCTGGAGGTGTATACACACAAAAAAAAAATATATATATATACACACTTTGTTCATTAGATGGTTATAGTAATAAAAATATATATATATACTTAAAGTATATATAACTTTAAATATATTAGGTACATACAAATAGATCATAATAAATCCATTGATTCTTCACATGCTCTGGGTTGGCATCATGTGTTTGGTGGTCACATGGGCAAGGGGAGGCCGTCAGGAGAGATTTTGGGAGTGTGGGATGTGACCGGCTCGAAGAGCACCTGCCACCAGCCACAAACAAGCTCACTTGGCCTTTTCCAAGGCTTAGACGGTATCAACCGGTACCCTTGTCTTTCTGATGTTCGCCCGTGTGTCCAGGAGTTTACTGAGTGTACTTCCCCAGCCTGCGGGTGGGGCACCCCAATTCGCTGGCATGCTGGACACCGTGCCATAGCCCGGCGCGTTGCCATAGTTCGGCTGGGCACCGTAGCCGGGCTGGGCACCATAGCCGGGCTGGGCACCGTAACCCGGCTGGGCACCGTAACCTGGCTGGGCACCGTAGCCAGGCGCCGGTCCACCAGCGTAGTATCCAGGCGCCCCTTGGCCATAGCCTGGTTGCGCCTGCGCAGGCTAAGTCACCAACTCATGAGGAATAGCCAGCCGGTCCAAACAAATTGATGATCCATGGGGAACACATCTCTCTCCTTTTCCTTTGAGCAGGTTCTAGAAAATAAGGTGGTCCTGGTGGTGGGGCGCCCCGCTGGCAATGAGGCCAAGGCGCCAAGCTTGCCAAAAGCGTTTACTAAAGCATCCTTTGTCCAACAAAACGTTGGCAACAAGTGGAGAAACCTTTGGAGCCGGTTTCCCTACAAAGTCTACACTAGTCGTCCACTTCTGCGGTAAGATGTTATTGCAAAACATGTTGGCGGCTTGGCACTCACATGTTCTTTGCTTTTGTGCTGCTCGCATCGTCTTCTGTGTTCGTCCTTTCGTGGTGTGTGAGGAAGACACATGTCTTCAGGTGAAGCACTCTTCATCCTCAATGATGGGTTGCTCATCGCATGTGTCTAAACTCCACGTTCGTCGCACCGTTCGAAAGGCACAACCGAAAGCTGATTTCAACCAGGTTGCCGTGGTTTGTCTGCACTGTTTCGCAGCAAACCCAAGCTCACAAGCTGTGGGACGCACATGGAGAAGGGATTTTCCTTTCTCCCCCACGGGTCGCGAATGATCATGTTGACCTCATTAATTAGCTTGGGATCTTCAAGCCTCAATCCTTCCTGGCACGGCTGCCAAGGACTCGGGCCAGCAAAGCCAAGTGTAGGAAAAGGCCCAATCGCCCGAGCACCTGATTCCGCACGGAAAGCACCATGCACAGCACCGATTCTCACGACTCACCAGGTTGATGTATCACATCTTTCTCCAGTCCCTGGAATCATCATGGAAGTGGAGTTCACCACCTGTTTAAAGGGGTAAGAGGTGATGCAACAAGGCCATTGCAATTCCACTTCCATGATGCTTCCGGGGAGTGTAATGTATATACAAAGCACATGTGGCAAGCATGCGCTGATGCTGGTTGGGAGGTCGCTGGTTGTTTCACCAACATGTGGAAGCATCCCACACGTTCAAAGTTTGAACATGAATCCCATGTATCCTTTCGGGTTCTTTGACCAAAGGACTTTAGATGTCTGAACATGTCAATGTCTGAACGCCATAGTATAGTGATGCCTGACGCTTCTTCCTCGATGCGGCGTCCACATGTGGCGAGACCCCGGCACTTCAGAACTGGCCACACCCTCGCCAAAACTTCTTCCACTAAGCTAGCGCAACACCCTCAACACCATCATAGTATATCACTACTGAATAGTGCTGAGCACAAACAGCAGGCCATAGCCGATCAACAGGGCTCACGGGGATACTCGTGTCTACACGCTCTGCCCCCCAAAAATGGATGACTTGAAATGACATCTGAACCGTCGCCACCCGCTGGGCAGCTTGCGCCTCCCGCTCGTCCCTGATGCTGCCAAAGCACCGGGCAAATGGTTTCAAGGGTCTCTGGCGCGAGGCGTCGTTTCAGTTGGATGCCCAAAAGAATCGCCACTGGAACCAACCTCAAGGAAGAAAGTAGCAGTGACCAATCCCCAAGCCAGGGGTCAGGAAATGTGGTCCAAAAATCAATGATGTGTCAATTCAACATCGGTGCTTCTCTGATCATTATATAAGTGGCATCACCAGATTCCGCTGATTTCACACCGAAGATCACGCCTTGACGAACTGACATGCATGCATGAGCCTCTCTCGGATGACCTAACTAGCACGTGGTTGGTTGGCTCCTTCTTTCCGGGGAATCTGGTCCCTGTTGCAGAACACGGATATCGGATAGTCCAGATCTTGAGCTCCCTCCTGACCACCCTCCTGTGCCAGGGGGGCGCAAGTTACTGCTTGGTGGAAAGGAATCTTTGCATTACTCCATGGCTTGGGGTGGCTTGAAAGACTCCACTTGCGCCGGATTGAAACGCGCCGCGGCACAGGGCCAAAACGGTCAAGAGCTCCAAAGCCACATCCAACGCGGCGCCCAGGAGGCCCAAGATAAGGGCAAAACACCTCAGCTTTTGGCACCGCGAAGCCGCGGGACGGCGCGAGGCGGGGAGATCCCAAAGGACGCGCGCGACGACCAGTCCTTCCTCTTTGTAACCTCCCGCGATCTGCCGAGCATCACCATGACCACAGAGCGGATGATGGTGGTGATTATCTTGGCCTTGGGCAATCAAAAGCCCCGACCACCATCAAAGGTATTGATTAAAAACTTTCGGTTGTTCAGAAAGTAACGCTCAAAGAACTGTGGGAGCTGTTTGGTGTGGCTGTACGGGCTACTCAGTGTCAACCCAAGCTGCTCTGCTTGCTGCAAGCAGGTTCCGCTCAAAAATGCTGTGGGTGAAGTCGAGGCACTGTGGACATTCAATTCTTGGTGTACTTGCAGCTATTCCGGTTGTGACTCTAGGTGTCAAGACTTGTGCTTTGGGCGCACCCCACGGGGGTTCCAGTCTCTGCTTGTTGGCATTCCGCTTTCTCACTGTCTGTTCCGAGTCTTATCCCGTCTTGATCGCAATCCCGCAATATGGTATGGTATGGTATGGCTGGGAACTCTCAGTCAGCGCTCCAGAGTGAGTGTTGCAGCCAGGCAACGGCGGGAAAAAGAAAACAAATCATATGTTTTGCCCGATGCCACGAGAAAAAAGAACATTCGACTACGTGCTGTTGAAACCAACATGAAACACAAAAACTATACATCATACATCCTTCATTCCTCTACAACCTACCTACGAAAATCCACATCGAGGGCCCATTCCGTCTACTCGCACTGCGGTTAGGGGGCCGCGATGCCGTCAATGCCGTCGGAGCGCACAGGCACCTGCTGAGCAGGGCTGGTGGTTCCT